AGTAATGAGGATGCGGTGAAAGGTGCTGAGCGGCAGAAAAACCTCCGTTATTTTTTGTGTTATGGCAATTTCAATCCTTAGCAGCCTGATTCCTACTGCCTTTTATATGAGGCTCCCGACAAATTGAAGCCACCTTTGGATAGCGTGCATTTTCATGGCAAGTTGGAGGCTTACTGACTCAAGAGTGGTCTCGGCTGCTTTTACTGCTCCTTGTAAATCAAAAGCAAGCTTCAAGCTGCCTGGTAGGTTTACACTGGTGTAAAACAGGCAGAAGAAAGAGAAGGATCAGTGCCTGCTGTGAGAGGATGGCTGGTATTCATCCTGGTGTGGATGCCCTGGGGACCTGTGCTGTCTTCTTCTCCCTTTCCTGTCAGTAGCTCTCTTCTGCCTGCCCATGTCCATGCATGGTCCTTTCCTCACTGATCTCCGCTTAGACGGTGTTCCTTTTCTGATTTAATTCCGTAACTGCTTTTAGGTGATGGGTTTCCCTCCTCAGAAGATAAGTAGAAGCTTAGCATTAAATACCATCCTTAAATACCAGCTATGATCCAGTGCTCAGTAGACCACAAAACATAAACTTTGATGCTCGAGTATGAAAAGACCATTTTGTGGGGAAAAAGCAAACTTCAGTCCATAAGAAAGCATTCTCAAAGTGCTATTTTGCTTTCCTTTTTGTTCTTAGTTGTTTGTTTTTTTGTTTGTTTGTTTTCCTAAAGCAAATTTGCCAAGAGTTAAAAGTCTGGAGAAAATATCGCAGGACAAATATCAACCTACATACTATTTATGGCCTTGCTGCTCACACAGTCATGTCTGCGTGGACTATAGGGCAAGTATCCTAGCAAGACGGCCTTCTTCTAAGAAGTGAACAGAAGGCCACTACTGTCAATGTTAATCACCTACCACTCAGCCAGCATGTTTCTATATTTTTGCTTGTACCCAAAGTACCTGCGAGTTTTCCGTATCTAATAGTACGGATGATCATAATTTGCATGATAGAGAGATGGGATAAAAACGCCCATGTAGGTGAATGTTTCCCCATTGAACAAGATGGATTTCGCAGCTTGGCACCTGCTGGGAAGTTCTACCAGGCTGTGTCCCATCCAGAGAGAGGTAACCAGTTATCCAGCCGTGGTTTGGATGCTGAGCGGCACTCAGACCTTCTGGATAGCATGTGGCGGAGTACAGACAGACAGGTGGGGCAAAAGTTGTCCAGGGCTCAGTCCAGTGAAAATGTTACTTGTATTAGTGCTAAACCCCTACTGAAGGTAAGGATTTTTCATAAGGCTTTTCCCTGTCAGAATATGGGCAGAAGAGAGCAGAGCCGTTAGGGTTGGTGAGTGATGATCCAAGTGCACTTTGGATGAGGATGCTTTCCAGTGATCCGACAGAAGCTGTGGGACTTTCTGCAGCTGTCCCAACACCACAGCCTGCGCATCCCTGCCTTCTCCATCCGGGGGTTGAAGCTGAGCTGTGAACATGGGGCAGCAATTATATTCAGCCGCATTGGGTTTCAACTACTAAAATTGGGGTACAACTGTGAAGTCTGAGCCTGTAAAATGCTTGAATACTGGCAGCTGTCACTGTCATCCAGGGCATTATTTGCAGGGGGAAGGATGCAGGATCCATCCTTGGTAATGAAAGACGTAGTTCTGTGCCCACCTGTGACGTTCACAGCATTTGTGTACTGCCCATTCAAATATGATCAGGAGCTTTTCCTCGTGGCCTGGAGACCTGGGGTCTCCTCACTGGCGAGGCTGATGGAGATGTGACCAGGGAGGGCACATATCTGAAAGCAGCAGTGTTCTTGAGAGTCTCCAGCATTATTTCTCCTCCCAGCTACTTGTGGGGTGGTCGGGCACTTGCAGGCAATGGCACGATAGCCTGGTTGGTCTCTTCCATCCTTTCTGCTGTTCCACACAGCTAGCCGAATGCTCAGATGTACTTTAGATATCAAGGTTGCTATTTTGCTCCTGAAGGGCAATAGGTATCTTTCTACATTATATATCCTCTTAGATGACAGACATATAATCTCTTGTTTCTTGGGGCTTCGCTGGTATATGATGAGTGAGAGAGCCTGTGGCTGTGTGCTTTGACAGGCATCCAAGCGCAGGGTGCTGCCACTCTCCTGTGAAGCCATAGGAAGTGTTTCATGATTCAAGATAAGACAGACCTTCACTTCCTCCTTCTGTGCTTGCAGAGCTGAGCTGCCGCCGAGGCTGCGCCGTCCACCCCGACAGCCCGCTTGCAAAATGGACCAGGAAACCCTGGGAAGCGTTGTCCTGCTCGCCATTGTCACCTTGATCAGTGTTGTCCAAAATGGTAAGACAAAAATAAGCATTTATTTAAGGACTAAAAGGGAGCTGAGAAAAGTTCAGGATGATATATGCTGATCTGGTCTTTGGATAGGTAATCTGGTTATAAGTGCGTGTGTGCTTAGGCATGACTTTGGCTTGAGAAATTGTCTTCGAAGAGTATGATTTTGCATGCAGTACCTTGGCAGTTGCATGGACCTACTCTGTGATATTCCAGAGTTTGTTATACATGTGTCAGCTAATGCAAGGATTAATATGCTGGGGTACTCTGTGACAATATGCATTTTGATTTGATGACTGAGACCTCCTTTCCTGGCTAAAGTCCTTCACATGGGCAGCCCGGGCGGCTGTCCCGGGCAGGGGACAGGGACAGGGCCCCGAGGGGCTGCCGTGGGTCAGACCTTTGCATGGAGCTGGGCGAAGGGGGCAAAACTGCACTGACTCGTCGGAGAAGTCTTTCTTTTTCTGGGTTGTTGGTGGGCAGGCAGCTCTCCTGTTTTCCTGCATCTCCAGGTCCTACAGTCCAACTAATCTCAATTGACTGCGGTCCCAAGAACACTGCGCATTTCCTGCAATGGAGAAGTTTCCTTTTTTAGCTCTTATTCAGACCTCTATAGCCCCTACTATTCCTCAGGATTTTTAAAATAAAACAACAAGTTTCTCTCTTGTGCAAGTCTGATTTTAACTTGATCATCATCTCTTCAAATACTTAATCATTTAGCAGGAAATTCTGCCCAGAATAGAGAGAAGGGAGTGAGTTTTGCCCCAGCTGCACTGATATCACCCAGGTTGAAGGAGAGTCAGCAGTGGGATGAGGGGATGATGCAGATGCTAGAAACCTTCTGTGAAGGCTTCTTGGTACCAATGGGAGATTCCCACTGAGCACAAACCCCATGTTCGGTCCCAGGAAAAGGGCTATTCTTGGGCTGCTGCAGAGAGGGGAAGTAGAGGGAGCCTCACCATAAGCCTGGCTGCCAGAGGAGAAAAAAAAAAATGATGCAGAGTGGTTTGGTTTCGACATGGGCACTAAATAGCATGTCTAACCCAATGCTGTTTTCTGGTAAATGCACAGCGTGTGACACTACCAGAATATGAGATGTTGAGATCAGAGCACATTCTGCAATTTAAAAAATGTGTCAAATCTACATTTCTTGCTATTTAACCAGATTACTTTATATACAGGGTTTTTTCCCCTCACTCTGAAGCTCAGGCATTTGCCTTCCAGCCTGACATGCGCTTTTATCTCATGGAAATCTGTCTGCAAGATTATTGACCCAACTGCTGCAAAGGGGCAGTGCGACACTTGGCAGAGGACTTAGTGTGCCAAGCATGAGTGGCACACAGCCCTAAATCATGATTTCAGACTTTGAATCATCTGATTTCCTCCTCCTCCCAGGCTTTCTCTCTAGAAAGACTGAACTGATATGCAGTCCTGCAACGAATGCAATAATTAAGGTGGTAGAAATGCTTGTCAAGGGATATCTGTTGCACTGAACTCTTGCTATTTCTCTGGTTTCAGCAAAGCATTTGGGCATCTGCTTGACTGTCTTCTTTAAGTATGTGAAGTCAGTACCACGTAAATTCGGGTTTATATTTTTTTCTGCACCTGGTGCAGGATTAGAAAACAGTTTGGCTGACTGCTGTTATTCCCGAAGCTGGAAGTAGGCAGTGGTGCTGCCCTAGTCTGACGTGCGTTTATGGTCACCTTGTTCATGTTGGGGTTCTCCATATCCTACAGAATGACTCGTGCTGCCGGATGCCACTGAGTCACACATGTAGCTTTAGGTTTTGTTCTTGCATCAGAGAGATGTTGCAATTTGTCAGCTTTCAGGGTACATCAGTGTTTACTGTTGAGCAGATTGGGATGGAGGAAGAAAAGCAAAGTCAACGGAAAGAAGGGACAACCTGCACGTTTGCCAGCACTCACTAGGTTGGAGCATCAGGTCATGGTTTCTGTTGGCATGAACTTGTGAAACAACCAGGGTTGGACTGAACTCCTGCACATTAATTGACCAGAGTGGAACTGCAGCCTGTGCAGCCCTGGAGCCTCAGGGCATCATCTCCTGATGCAGCTGAGCTGAATTGAACCCCTCAGCTTCAGCCCTGCTCCACTCATTTCATGCCAGCTTGTGAAACCACCCTTTTGCCTTGAGGTTCAGAGTCAAGAGCAGGAAATATGACCATGGTGTTGCAAGTTGCTTCACACTAGTCTCTCATTTCTCCAATGCCAGGTTAATGGAGCCCAATGCTGCTGAGATGGGAGTGCAGACCTGCAGCAAGGGCCACCACTGGATGTGATCTGTCAGCTCTGCTCTGGTCCATTGCAGAGCTTCAGCCCGTCTGAGCCTCAGGCAGCCAGGACCTGCCTCTTGGGCTGCCTTCTGGGAAGATTTTGGGAGCCTGCAGGGTGTGTGACATTGACAGGGCAAAGGCGCCACAGACACAGGGAGCCACATTCAGGGCAAAAACCTCACTTGAAGCAGGAGGCTCTACCTCTCCGTACGATGGTGAGATGCTGGGTTGTCCTCTGATTCACTGCCCTCACTTTGGGGGTCCACGTGGTCCTGAGGAAATACAGCTGCTGTGGTGGGTTGAAGGCAACTAACCCAGGAGTTTTCACTAGCTAAGAGGCAGACACCTCATGTGAGGTGGTTGCCTACGCTCTTTCTTGAGTCAATGGAGAAACATCAGGAGTTCAGTGAAGTGGTTTCTCTTGTGCCGGTAACCCTCTGAGGGATTGATTAACCTCTTCAGATGCCTTTCTTCTGTTTCCTTCTGTCATCCACTGTTTACAGAAGGAAAATATCCAACTCCCCAACACTCCTCAATGTCTCTGAAGTGAGATGAGACAAAACCTGCTCCTCATCCATGGTGTGGGTGTACATAATAACCCTACCACTGTCCTTTGCCCTCCTGCCCAGTCCTTTGACCATACCCACATCCATACACCACGTCAGAGACGGCAAGATCTTCCAGGACAGATGCCTGGTCCTCCACAGCCAGATCCTTCCCAGGAGACCCAGCACTCCCAGGCCTGCCCAGCCCTGATCGCAGAGGCTCTGCACCAGGAGTGGCACCCCAAGAGCACTTCCAAGCTCTTCTTCTTGGTGACCACTGTCACGCTGGACATATCTGTGTTCTCGGTGTTGAAGAGCCTCTCTGCAGCAACACACGGGTGTTTGGGAAGTGGCAGCACCTGTGGCAGCAGAGAGGGAGAGTTATATAGCTTACGCTTGGCTTTGAAGCTGCCGAATCTTCTAGTGATTTCACATACATGCTAAATGGAAGAGAGAATGTAGGCAACATATCCCAGTGAGCCCATGCAGTCGCAGACCTGCAGGAAGTGGTTTCTCATCACTGCAGCTTTGCACTGGAGAAAAAAATGCCATTCAACCCAGTCCTGTTCAACTAGGTCGTCTTAGACCCTGTAGGCAGGTTAATAACCCCATGCCAAAGGCTGGGATGGTGGATGGGTTGGACATGCTGAGAGCTCTCAGTGGCTGTGCCACTGGATGGTGTCTGCTTTGGGTCCCCCAGGGCCAAGTGGTCCAGGAGCCGGCCAGTGCACCACGCTGGTGGCACCGGGAGGGTCTGCAGCCTGGCTCAGAGTGGGGATGCTGACTTAAAGCACTGCGTGTTTTTCTGGACAAAGGCCTTATGTACCCAGAGAATCACTCGATACCGGAAGGCAAAAAACTCAGTAGCTTTTAATGAAGGCAATAGAAGTACAAAAGACCTACTTACAGCATCAGTGCGGGGAAAACAGAGGTAACTCTTCAGATACTAGGTATTAAATCCTGCAGCTTATCAAGTTATACTTCTATTGTTATAATAATACCTTTCCTGATGGGTTATCTTTTATATATACCTTTGGCTAATATTCTAAGCTGTAGAGTGATTTGGGTACACTGAGATGGGATGCACGATAGTACAAAGCTTGCAGCTTGTAGCCTGTCAGGGCTCTGTCTGCTGTATTTAGACACATGATTGATGGTCTCTGGTGTAGTGTCATCAGATAAAACGTGTTTTTCAAGCGCATGCTGCATTTTTGCAGCAGCTAACACCTTGACCCAACGCAGTTGCTTAAAAGGAGGATACACACAAGACGGACACACAGCCTTCAGGGACAGGTTTTCAATGGGCCTTTCTGGAAAATTAACCCGCCCTGCAGGATGTCCCTGGTTTGGCAAACGGCTATCACTGAAAGAGAAGAGACTCCCTTGTCTCCCTGCTCTATTAGAGAGTGAGAATTGGGTTTGGCAGCTTTGTCTAGAAAGCTTTTTCCCACTGGGGGCACAAAGGACGGGGTCTGGGCTGCTCTTCTGCAGCAGAGAGAGGTGCGGGCTGCCAGAAGGGCAGCGCAGGGACGAAGCAGGGCTCGGAGGTGAGAGCCTGCTGCCAGTCACATAACGAACACGTGAGGATGTCTGAGGTCACATCGCACTGCGCCTTTGCACCGAGGGTTTGGTTATACCACGGTGGCAGAGCGAGCACCCTGGCCACATCCTGCAGCTCCACGCGCCCGTGTCCTCTCCTGCCATCCAGCCTGGGTGCTTGTGAGAACAGACCCGGGCCCACAAAGCCCAGCTTCTGCAACATGTCCACATTACATCTCAGATTGAATACTCTGTGTTTTTTTAACAGCTTTTTTTGCTAGCAAAGTGGAGCATGAAAGCAAACACTGCAACGGCAAGGGGTTCCAGCGGCCGGGATCGTCTGCCTTCGACCGTGTCTACACTGCCAAGTGAGTAGGCAAGCCCTGAGAAACCAGTGGAGGCAGAGCAGGGTTTGCCTCTCTCTTCATTACGGTTTATTCCAATCTCTTTTGGGTCCAGAGGTGGGTTCCAAATGCCCTCAGACGAAGGCTTGGCTCTACAGTCCCACTGCTGCGTGCATTGCTGTGATGTTTAGATCTGCAGTTCACCAGTATGTTTGCTGGTGAACCCAGGTCCTTTCTGGACCCCAGGTGCTGTATTTATATTGGACTTGCAGCCCTTATGTGCATTATGTCCCTTCGTTTGGGAGCCCATTCACCCAACAGTAGCTAATGCTGGCAGCGTGGTACAAGCACAGCCGGTGTCCCCAGGGCACTGCGGCTCAGAAGGAAAGATCCAACAGAGAGACGTGACTTGCTGAGGAGCGGGTCGGTGGCAGAGCTTGTACAAACCTCTCGGTCCCCCGGGCAGCTCTCTTGGCATGCAGCTCTCCGCTTCTCTGCCACATCTGTACCTCTTGTCTTTGACATCCCTTCAAAGAGAGCAGAGGGGAAAATTAATTCCAACCCAGAAGAGAGAAGAACATAAAATATTTTTTATTACCCGTGAAGTACTGACGATGTGCTTGAAACTGGATGGGATGTCCATGTGCTGCCCTTCACAGGTGTGCAACCTCTGCCAAGGGCAGAGTGCTTCCCCCTTGGAAAGCATTCCCGGCTGAAAGAGGCAGCTGGAAATCATTCCTGTTCCCCTGCAAAGAGACATGTTAACTCTGTCAGACACTCCTATTTGCTGTGTGATTGTTCTTTTGTTGGATTCATGCAGCTTTCAATGGCAATAACTTGATTAATATGACTTAATTACAAGGATTTTCCAGGCCAAAAAAACACACAGCATGTATTATACATGTGCCATGATCAAAAGAGGTTAGAGGAGGAAAGCAGCTTTCACAGGTGCCAGGCATGTGCGCAGGGCAGATTGTTTTCCTCATCGGGCAGGACAAAGGCATCCTTTATCCGAGTGGGGAACGGGGAAGCAGACCTGCGGGCAAGGCAGCCGTTGTGTTCGGGCACGGACGCGCCAGCGGCCGCAGGCAGGTCAGGAGCCTCCCACCGCTCTGGGGTAAAAGCCCACCCGCAGCGGTGCTAGCGCAGCCCAAATGCACACCCCACCACCCTTTGCTCGTGAAACGTTGGTTTTGTTTCTATTTTCACACGTTCTGATTTCTCTCTGACAAATTCCTTTCTAGCCAGAACTGCGGACACACATACCCTACGTTTCTGGCCGTGCTTTGGTGCGCTGGGCTTCTCTGCAGCCAAGGTAACACACAGGTTTTTTCCCTTTTCAACCTTGCACCACTTTCAGCAAGTGGAGAAGAGAAGGCTCCAGGGAGACCTTACTGCAGCCTTCCAGTTCTTAAAGGGGGACTATAAGAAAGATGGGGACAGACTTTTTTAGCAGGGCCTGTTGCCATAGGGACAATGATTTTAAAATAAAAGGGGGTAGATTAGACTAGATCTGAGGAATAAATTTTTGACAATGAGGGTGGTGAATCACTGGCACATGTTGCCCAGAGAGGTGGTAGATGCCTCATCCCTGGAAACATTTGAGGTCAGGTTGGACGGGGCTCAGAGCAACCTGCTCTAGTTGAAGGTGTCCCTGCTCATTGCAGGGGGGTTGGACTAGATGACCTTGACAGGTCCCTTCCAACCCAAAGATTCTATGGTTCTAAGGGATGGTGAGCATTTCAGAGGTTACACTTCAAGGGACCAAATTGTCCTGCAGTGGGGGGACCAGTCTCACTCGGCTGTCCTGCAGCTACTTCTGCTGTTGAATTAGCAGCACACTCCCTGACATGGTCTATGCCAACAGACATGTTCCCAGACATGATTCCAGACAGTCCGGGCCAGGGAAATTTCCCATATAGGCATTATGTATGAGATCCCTCCATTTTGGGTGGAGCGTTTAGTACTTGGATGCTGGATGCCGCATTATTCACCCCTGGGACTGGAAGTGGGCTCATTTGATTAAATTGCCAGAGCTGCCAGCCCTTCCCAGCGCTGAGGGGGGAGCCCAGGAGTATTTACCTGCATTTCTAAATACCATCTCCTTTAATGTAATCTGAGTTTTCCTAAAGTTGAGTACTTTCCTAGGGTCCGTGGCTATTCTTTCTGGAAGAGAGGAGTTTCCTGACCAGAAGAAGAAGGGCTGTTGCCTGCGGGTGTGGGGAAAGCTAGAATTAGGGGGGAAAAGGGAAAAGCCCCTTTTTACGTGCTCAGAAATTAGTGTTGGACCACAGTATAGTCCTCCACCCTGCTCCCAGAGAAGTACATTGATTGGCTGCCTTTTATTTCTGGTGAAGGCAGTGCCTAAGCCAGCACCCTCCTTCCCGAGCCCAGCGTGACACACACCGGGTTGCTGCAGCAGGCACAGCTCTGGGCAGGATTACACCCACAAAGTCTTCAGAAAAACTGGTGTGAAGGCAAGGCAAGCACTCCGTTTCCCATGCAAAGGTCACTGTCCTGCTTTCCAGTGACCGTCCCATCACCCAAGGCTGCAGGTCCCCATTTCCTGGTCCAGCAGACGGGGACAGTACGTACGGAGAGACCTGTGTCACTGTCTGTAACCTGTTGTTTTACCGTTCACCCAGCTCCTGCCGCCTTTGCTGGCCTGATGTACTTGTTTGTGAGGCAGAAGTACTTTGTGGGCTACCTCGGGGAAAGGACTCAGAGGTAAGGACTTGCAGAGCTTCTTCACAACATGGGACACGGGAGGTGCGGTGGCACCGGGGGTCCGGGGAGCTGCAGGAACAGGGTGGCTGCTTCAGCAGCGCCCGCTGACAGCTTCCGCAAACGCACGCGTTGGTGTGTTTGTGCTACTATTTGCACAAGATCTTCCTTTTACAGTGATAAAACTTGTTACGCACGCGTGGAACAAGATTGTCCCACGGCCTTTGATGGTTGAGAGGACATATGAGTCCTTCTGAAGAGCTACTTTTGTACGCAGCAGCCTACGTTGAGCGCAGGAAGCCAAATCCAGACCCAAACAAATCCTGACAATGGCATTGCAGAGCTCACGGCTGGCCAGAGCAGCAACGCGAGGGCAGCGCAGAAATTTGGCCCCCTCTGTCTCAGCCCCCGAGGTGTTTCAGCTGGTGTCAACAGCAGAGTCCAAAGTCTGAGGGCTTCTCGCATGAGGTGATGTGTGTTAACGAATTGCTTTTCCCCCTTTCTGTCTCCCCAGCACTCCTGGTTACTTGTTTGGAAAGCGCATCATTTTGTTCCTGTTCCTCATGTCCGTGGCTGGAATTCTGAACTACTATCTCATCTTCTTTTTTGGAAGTGACTTTGAAATGTACATAAAAACGATAACCAGCGCGATCTCTCCGTTGCTGCTCATCCCGTAGCTCCCTGCAGCACTGCGGGGGTCAGCGTGCTTAATAGATCGATACCCGGAACCAGCCGTAATTCAACTGTTTAAGAAATGAACCCGTAACCCTTTTAGACTGCTGTAAATCTCATGCTTGATGGGCTTTGTAGTTTGATTTAACCTTGCTTTTTCCTTCAGGAAAAAGATTTATCGTGAGCACTTGGCACACCCAAGGAATGATAACAACTTCCAGTTAATTCTTCACTTTTTTTCCATAAATGCAGCTTGCAAGCTGATTGCGTGACTGGAAGGGACACTGTATGCTTGCTTCATAACGGCGTCGTACTTAGCTTTTGTCCCAAAACCTAGGGGCCTCTCAGCATCGCTCCTGACCGACGGCTCCCACAGTTATCCTCACGCCCAGGCACAGCCTTTCGCCAGCATCCCGCACGCCCCTGCCCACGCAAAGGCACTGGCCAGCCCCTTCGCCTACCCTTTCCTTCCCATTTGCTGATGACTGAGCTCCTGCTGCTGCAGGAGGGCAGCAAATTGGCTCCCGTCTGGTCTTCCTTGATAAATATTCATGTGCGTAACGCTCCGACACTGATCTCATTTACACTTCAGCCTTTTTGTTCTCCCAGAGCTGTGAAAAGGGGTCTTGCGTAAATGAGGAGCTGGTGTATTGACGGTTTTGTTTTGCTTGGCTTTGTTTAATAAAACGGTCTAAAAGGATGAAATCTGTTTGCTCCCATCTTCTTCGCCTGGTGCGTGATCCCGACGCTCGGCGGCTCGGCAGCTGGCCGGTGAGCGGAGCACGGGGAGCAGCACCGGGCTCTTTGTGCCGGCTGCTAATCGCCCGAGGCACGGCCTCCGAGGACGCGAGTTTAACAGCTCCCTCTCTATTAGCAAGTTCCATTTTCTGCCTCCATCACCAGCACCGTGCCCCTACACGGCCATACCGAGGCGCGGTTTGATTCGAGACGCGGACCGAGGAGGCAAACTGCCGGTGCAGTCTTCTTAAACACCGCTACCCTATGAGTGCTTAAGCTCTTAAGCCTGCCTGATTACCGCACGCAGGATGGATGAAGCTGTATTTTATGACTCCTTTGGGAGGGACGGAGACTCCTCACTATGTGAGAAGAGGGGCTGCCGAGCTGCTTGCAATAGCTGCTTGCAAAAGCAGGCGCAGAAAGCCGGCTGCCCTCGTACCACGCCAAGGCTGCCGGGTTTTGCTGCTGCCCGGCGGGGCAGAGGGCTTGTGCGCGGCTGCTCTCCTCCACGCCCGGCCATCGGCGTTGCCAAAATAACGCGCACCTTTTCACACACCTCTTTTTTTTTATCTCCTACAGGAGTTTTAGACGTGAAAGATTAGTAATAAATGTATTTACTGCATGATGCTTAGCTAATAAATGTTCTTACTGGTTAGAATAGGTAATTCAAAAAGTATAAACGAACCTCCCCGCCTACAGCTGCTGAGACACCTTATTCGTGGGTACAGCACTTACACTCCTTCCCTCCCCTCCTTCTCAAACCACTGTAACACACTCCAAACCCTGCTTCATGCCATGCTTCTCTGCCACCCTCTCTCTCCATAGCTCATCGGCAGCCGTCCATCCTCAGTGGCAACCCACGATCCCTCTGCCCCGTGGGGTCAGCCCACCAAGGGATGGCAGCACCTCAGGAGAAGAGGGGCAACCCCTGTGGTCTGGAGTCACCGAGTTCTTCTGCATTGCTGGTACCAGCAAAGGCTCACACTGCCACCTCTGTTCCTTGGTTCAGAGGAGGAGATGCTTCACCAGCACCACAGTCCCAGCACCCCAGCCAGGCCAGTCTGGTCTCCCTGAGGCCTGAGACTTGTTCATGGTGGCTCACCCAACCCTATGTGTCCACCTTGCAGGTCTCCCCAGCTGGATAAGTCTCCCATGGTGCCTTTTTGTCCTTTATAGCAGGAAGCAGCTCAGTTGACCTTCTGATGCCTCCTGTTAGCATGAGAAGAGGCGGTCCACCAGCCGGCCTTAAAGGGCGGAGGATTCAAATGTCTATTTTGGGTCAGATGATAATCTATGCCAGAACTCCCAGGCCTCTCTGTTGACTTGATGATCGGTTTCTACATCACTGTTTCTAGGTAAAATTAGGTCATCCTCTGAGGGAACTAAGGCCTATCTTTTGCAAGAATATCTCCTACCTACTTCCTCAAAGCCTTTCTGATAACAAAAGAGATGAAAATGTAGGCAAAATCTATTTTCCATCTATCTATAAATGGAAATGGTGATAGTATCAGACAAACAGGTGGCACATAAATCGATCACTATGTAAATTCTCCGGGAACGTCAAGCTGTGTTTTCCATGTTACAGGCAAACCTTGTGGTTGCATTTGCCTTCCCACTCTTTCTATGAAAGGAAGGCAACGTCAGTGCTATTTGGGCTTTCCCTGCTGTGTTAGATAATTCCAGTTTCTGTTTTCAGCAGTAAAACCACCCTGTTCTGGGTGGTACCATTGCCAGCACTTTGCACATCAGCTACTAAGAAAGATGCAAACATAGGCTCATTGCAGGGGGGTTGGAGTAGATGACCTTTAAAGGTCCCTTCCAACCCAAACCCTTCTATCATTCTATGATTTTATAGATCCACATGCAAAATACATACGTTACTGTGCAAGATGTAGAGGCACATACTGGGGTCACATATACATGAACTCACTAGGACCTACTGAGCCGCGTTGGACGTGGGCACATGGCTGAAGTGCCAGTCCCCGCTGATGGCTCCTGTTCAAGGCTGGCTTGTAAGCCCCAGGGGCCAGCACCCGCATTCGGTGCAGTGCACGGCTCGGCAGCTCCGGGCCTGGAGCCGGGGCTGTATGTGAACAGCTACCGCTTTCCCATCCCGCTGATTGCGCCAATGCTGCCGATCATCCTGCTCGCAACGCTGCCAGGCTGTGGGCTCTGCTCCACCAGCCGTGCCCCGGCTCCTTGCGACGGTGTGCCACCACCACGCCGCGCGGCTCTTCGTGCGCTGAAATCCAGGCTACGCAAATAAACGTACTGTCTGTGTGCGCATGACCATAGGCACAGCGTGTTTGCTTACTGCATTCTGTATATATACATAGAGAGCGAGTAGGTGCTGAGTCATGTGAATGCTAGAAGGTTTTCAGGGAAGGCAGGGAAGCAGGTTGCTCAAGCACCAGCCCTCTCAGCTTGCAGGCTGGGTACATCAGAGACTGCAGAGACTGCTGGAAGCCGGGCTGTGGCAGGATGCTTTTGATCTGCTGACAAAGGCCTGGAGCACATACAGTATTCTCACCACAGTAACTGCGTCTGCTTCCGTACAGCACTACAACCCTCTAGTGGAAACTCAACCCTATCGGCACGCCGGTGCTTCTGGCCATGGGATGAGCCATTCCTCCGAGGTTTGAAGTCTGATGGTGATGCAACAGCATCCACATTTCTGAACAGATGCATTGTTTATTATTGAATGCTATTTTTTATTATTCTGGCACATAGGGACCCCACTCCTGAAGGAAGACCACTATCCTATCCACCCCAAAGCAAGCGGTCCTGCTTAGCACAAGGTCCAAGTGAGCAAGTAATGTCTGAGTAGGATAAGAAATCTGTGTGCACTACACACGAGGGTTTCCTGCAGTATTTCCCAGATTCCCAGTTTCCCAGAACTTGCAAAATCAGCCTGTGCTGTATCAGCTCAGTCTAAGTCATGTCTATGCCAAGTTTCCCAATGAGTCTCTGAGGATTAGGAGAGTAGTTCTGCTGGCACAGGGCAAAGACTGGCCTTTGGCAGCTTCTTCAGCTCTCACCTGCTCTGAGATTACTTTCTTCTAGCAGAGCATCTGGTTTAACAGTCACAGAAACCCAGCGCCCTGTGTGCTGGTGTTGGCTGGGATAGAGTTAATTTTCTTCACAGTAGCTCGTATGGGGCTGTGTTTTGGATTTGTGCTGAAAAAAGTGTTGATAACCCAGGGAAGTTTTTGTTATTGCTGAGCAGTGCCTACACAGAGCCAAGGCCTTTTCTGCTTCTCACCCCACCCCACCAGCAAAGGGGCTGGGGGTGCACAAGCAGTTGGGAGGGGACACAGCTGGGACAGCTGACCCCAACTGACCACAGGAATATTCCATACCATATGATGTCATGCTCAGCACATGAAGCTGGGGGAAGAAGGAGGAAGGGGGGGACATTTGGAGTTATGACATCTGTCTTCCCAAGTACCCGTTATGTGTGACGGAGCCCTGCTGCCCCGGGGATGGCTGAACCCCTGCCTGCCCATGGGGAGCAGTGAATGGATTCCTTGTTTTGCTCTGCTTGCGTGCGCGGCTTTTGCTTTACATATTAAATTGTTTTTATCTCAACCCACGAGTTTTCTCACTTGTACCCTTCCGATTTTCTCCCCTGTCCCACCGTGGGGGAGTGAGTGAGCAGCTGCCTGGGGTTGAACCACGACACGCTGTCAGGGTGGGATGCTGCAAAGCATTGAGCATTGGCCCAAGTTTGTGGACTGCAGTGGGAGCAGGATTAGGCCTTGCAGGGAATGCTTGGAAATAGTCCACCCTCAATAAGTGAAAGGGCAGTACAGAATGAGAGTAGTGACAAAATCATTCCCTGGGTGGTTTTAAACTGGTCCCATGTCCCAGACAGAGTGAGCAGGGTGAGCATTCCCATGCGAAAGCCCCTCAGTGAGCTGCAGAGCCTGGCAGAGCCCTTGCAGAGGAACATGCTGACACTCGGGAAGGGGAAGGACCTTGAAGGCCATGACATCCCTTCAGAGCACTCGGGGGACATGTACAAGCTTCATAATGCCTTTGGGTAACGAAGAATGCCGTCCCTGGGGCCATTGGGGAGGGTGCAGGACAACTCCGCCGTGGCTCCTCTCAAGGCGGTTCCATGTCTCGAGGGATTAGGATGGAGAAGCAGCCTCTGCACTGCTCCCACACCAACAGGCTGTGGAGGAAGAGATGCTTTTAGCAACGCTGCTGTGAGTGCAAGGAAAACACATCCCGTGGGGCGGAACAGCTCGTGCTGGTGCCCAGCCTCTGCCCCACAGCGTGCCTGCCCCAGTGGAGGGAGGCTGTGGGCAGGAGGGCATCAGCACTGCTCCATCCATCCCGCCTGCCAGAGCATCTCGCTGCTCCCAGCCAGCACGCAGAGACACAAAAGCGAGCAAAAGTGAGATTCCTGCCCCAAAGGACAAACAGCCTCCACAGTGAGCTGTTTTTCCGCTTTAGAGAAAAAATAAGTATCTTTTCGATTTCAGCTGCGAGGATCTTCACGCTGCGAGATGATTTCATCAGACAGATGAGCTCCCAGGGCTTTGTGCTGGCTCGGA